CGGGTGACCCTTGGTTCTTGTGTTATGTGAAGGGGTAAATAACACTTCCTTATTCACTTTTTCCACGCCATTCATGATTGTGTAGACTTCTGTCACATCTCCCCTTAGCCGTCTCTTTTCAGACAGTCCCAGTCTTCTTAATCTCTCCTCATAGGGAATCTGTTCCAAACCCCTAATAATTTTTGTTGCCTCTCTCTGTACTTTTTCCAATTCTAATACACTGCTACCTCGATATAACGCGACCCGATATAACACGAATTCGGATATAACGCGGTAAAGCAGTGCTCCGGGAGGGCGGGGCTGCGCACTCCGGTGGATCAAAGCAAGTTCAATATAACACGGTTTCACCTATAACGCGGTAAGATATTTTGGCTCCCGAGGACAGCGTTATATCGAGGTAGAGCTGTATATATATTTTTGAGATGGAGTAACTGCACGCAGAACTGCATGCAGTATTCAAAGTGTGGGTGTACCAGGGATTTATATAGTGGTATTGTGATATTTACTGTCTTATTATCTATCACTTTCCTAATGGCTCCTAACATTCTGTTAGTTTTTTTGACTGCTGGTTCACATTGAGCGGATGCTTTCAGATAGGGTGACCAGATAGCAACTGAAAAAATGGGACAGGGAGTGGGGGATAATAGGCGCCTATATAAGAAAAAGTCCCAAAAATGGGACTGTCCCTATAAAAACGGGACATCTGGTCAACCTACTTTCAGAGAACTATCTATGATGACTCCAAGATCTCTTTCTTGAGTGGTAACAGCTAATTTAGACCCCATCATGAGGGTGCACTGTGGGAGAGTGGTTTGAACCACTATGATTAGGGCAGTGGTCTCCATCTACACTGGCACTAAAACAATGCAGTAGTTTAGACTGGCTAACAGGAAATTTAATCCAAAATGGAAGTTTAACCATTCGGAGCACTTTTGTATGTGGACATGAGATATTTTACAAGTCTGCTAGGGGAACTAAACGTTTTTTGAACAGTAAAATTCTCTAGAGAAGACAAAGCCTTACTTGGCTGGATAAGGGAGAGAAGTGAATTCCTTAATCAAGGACCCTCTGCTGAGAAC